AGAAAAGTCGGTGATCGATCGGGGCGATCGGCAAGAAGCCGGTCGGCCAGCCAGCCTCGCCGGTGTATTCTAATTGAAAGCAGTCCGGCACGGTGGACGAGGACAAAGGAATAAACGAACGAGGACAGAATGAAAAAAAGCAATCGACTGGCTGGACGAAGAAGGTCGACACGCCGGAGGCGAGGGACACAGGGTCGGTGCTCGTAATAGCGCTGCCATAAAATCATGAAAATAAATTATTGCATAGATGATGGCGGACGTTAACTTTCAAGCTGGTCTCGTGACACCTCGCCGTTGCGACCGACCGTTAAGCCGCCTTTGGACGCGGTGCTTCACACACACACACAGCCGGAGAAAGTTTACGTTTATGCGTTTATGAAGGAGCAATAAACGCCGGTCGGCCGGCGAAACAGAAAAAATCACGGAGCGACGTTTACGAGGACAGGCTCACCACTACCTTGCCCCCCCCCCTCGACGTCCCGGCCAAAGGGTTGTTGCTCCACACCGGGCAAGGGTTGATGGGGCTCTGTTTGGGTTTCCAATTTATTGTGGCCGACCCTATCCTTACCCCCTCCACCGGAGAGGTTTTTCAGGTAAATATCGAGTTTCCAAACTCTGTCTCCCCGTTTACCTGGATTACGACCCGACAATGCCAAGCACTTCCGGTTCCTATGGAAGACGCTTCTCCCCTCCCTAACGATCCTAGGGAAAGAAGAGCGGCGCTTTCTTAACCCTCGAGTCATTCTGAAACAGTTCCACGTTAATTAGCCTGTTTATGCTACCGATGGCAAAGTTGCATTCTAGAAGACAATCGGCCTTGTTAGCCGCTTTATGAAGACAATAATTGCGAATTGGGACGACCTGGGCCGTACAACCGAGCCGTCGAAACCTGACCGACATTTGGCCAGTCTAAATGACCGTTTATGCGTGGGGCTAAATGACCGAAATGTACTTTTCGAGAAAGTGAAAGTAGGAAAGTGAAATTAGGAAATTAGAGACTAGTAATGTCTTTCTAATTGACGCCCAGATTGCGCACAAAAATGGACAATTCGGGAAGAGCAGATACGATTATTCGAGCCTTGCGATTTATTTTTATACTTATAAATTGTCCACAATTATAAAAACGAGCCGCAAGGTTCGAATAATCGTATCTCTCCTCTTCCCAAATTATCCATTTTTCTGCTCAATCCGAGCGTCAGTAAGGGAGACATTACTGTAATTCGACACATTTGAAAGCGAGATATCGAGTTCTAACAAAAGAAACGATGCTCTAGAACGACCAAATCGTACTCTCGAATTCGTCGATGTCGATAGCACCGCTAGAAATGACGTGAAAAGCGTCGAAGTTGCCGAAATTGCGAAGACCTGCTCACGGAAAGTGATCGAATAACTTCGTCGATGCGAACGGAAATTACAATGAAACCGGCCGAAGACGTAGACGACTAAACGTGTGCTCGCCTTCGGCGTTCACGGTCACGGATGACGATGTTTCTGAAAAGTCTTCTGCGACGATGAAAGTAAGGCTAGTCCCCGGGCTTCTTGACTCATAATAGCCTGCACTCGGTTCGCTGACAGCGGCCACTAAAAATACAAGGCGTCTCGTCGATAGCCAGCGTCAATAAAGAGGCAGAAGAGCGGAGGCCGAAGGAAACGTCGAAGATATACGGGTCGTTAATGAACACAGCCGAAGGCTCGACAGCTAACAATTCTAAGGCGTCACCTTGCCAGACCGATGCTCGCAGTTAATCCGCGAGGGTTAGCGGCTCGGCGTCCTCGCGGCTGCAGGAAAGGCAAGCTTCGCGCTCGCGCGCGCGCTAAGTGTGTTATAAAAGGCGTGGGTGGTCGTCATCTGACAGGTGGCAGCGATAGGAGGCCGCGTAGGAAGCCTAATAATGGCCGCGCGGCCGATACAAAACTGAACGTACGACGGAAGTTCGCGGGCTTTAATTAATCCCGACGATCGTTGATCGCCGGGGAATTGATCGGGCGTTAACGAGCGCGCTCGGGCGGGGGCGTCGCCGAGTTTCATTGAATGGAAATCGGTGCTTATGCGAACGAGAAGTGGAGGAGGAGAAGGAGGATCGAGCGAAGGACTGCACGATCGGCGGTAAATCGATCCCGGCCGGCGAGGATAAAATCGCGGCGAGCGGCGGCCCAGTCACGAGAACGCCGACCGAACGGCGAACACGATCGAAAATCTTTGAGATAGTTTCGCGCGATCGCGAAACGAAACAAGCCCCGCCAGCAAGTTCATCGAACCGCCTTCACGTTTTTTGCCCGCGAGCGCGCACGTGCCTATCGTCCTTCGAATCAGCGCGGCTCGCTCCGCTCCGCGCGCGAGTTTCGGCGTTCGCCGCGCCGATTTCGTGTTACCGCACTGCCTGCCCACGGAAAGGGAAATCGAGCGGAGCGCCTCGAATTGATTTATGTCATCGACTTTCTGACGAGCCTCTCTCTCTCTCTCTCTCTCTCTCTCTTTCTCACGAGCCACGAAAATCCACGTCGGAGTGGATTTACACACATACTACTTCATTAGCATAACGAGCGCGCACATTACGCGATACGCGACACGCTCGTGCGGTCACAGTTCCGACGATTTCGTTCGCGACAATTCGGATCTGACTCGACGTTTTCGAAGCGAGCCGTCTCCGCTTTCGTACCACCGCAACGAAACCGCCGGCGAAAACTGCAGATCCGCGCGAAGCACGCTAATCGATACGGGGCACACACGAGCGGCGTCCGCGGCGGAGAGCATCGCCGGACAAAGGGCGCCACGGCTGCATAAAAATGCATCCCGGCTGGGTAGTCCCAGAAAGCTTCTGAAATCGAGGGCCGATTAAAGAAAAAGCAAAAAGCAGAAGAAGATCACGAGGGGAATCCGAGAAGAGTCGACGACGACAGCGAAGACGGGACAGAGAGCGGAGCTGCGTTGGATCGGTCTGCCGGGACGGAGACAAAGACGGAGAGCGCGACGGAAAGGGAGAGAGAGAGAGAGAGAGAGAGAGAGAGAGAGAAAGAGAACGATAGAAAGAGAGAGAGGGAAAGCGAGATCGAGCGAGCGAGCGAGAAGAGCAGAGCGAAGCACAGAAGAGAGGCCGAGAGGAAGCCGGCAAGGTTAGAGGGAGACGGGGAGAGGCAGAAGGCGAAACGACAGCTACGGTCTCTCGCGGTTGGCTCGAGCGAGAGGGCGCATGGCCTTGGCCGCTGCTGCGGGGTAATTCAGTCAAGGTTTCGGCCGATGAACTTCCTCCGACGGGAGGAAGGAGAGTCGGCCGGTAGAGGTCCGTGCCGGTGGTGGGGACGCGGCGCGGCCAATCGCGCGGGCACGCGGCCCAGCGTGCGGCGCCGGGATTGGCTGGGCCCGTGACGCCGGTGCCCGGGCCCGCAGCCGGTTGTCAGTGACCTCCAGCATTGAAAATACGATGAACTCTCTCGGGGGGCTCTGTGAGAGCACACCGGTGCACTGTGTGTCCTCTACTACATACTAGGTAGCCAGGGCGTAGACATTGTAGATGGTCGAGGCAGCCTGGCAAGCAGGCAGCCACATCAATCCCTCCCCTCCACCGTCCTCGCTCCGAGTAAGGGCTGCACGGCCCGCAGGTAACCAACACTCGGCAGCGCCGAACTCCAGTCAGACCAACGCGAACCTCCCTCGAGCGAACACTTACTTTCACTCTCTCTTCTGCCTCTTCCATCCGCGCTCGAACGTACGTTCGCTCGTCGGATCCATTTTCTGTTCCTTCCTCTCTCGCGTGTGGACGGCCGGGGCCCCGGTCCGCTGTCTTCCTTGGTATAACACGGACGAGGTGTCCATCGGTTGCCACAGAACGCACCTGCCCTCGCCCTGGCTCGGACCTCTCACGTTCGGCTGGTGTTACCCACGTAAATACCTTCGGTCATCACGTGATACCTTACGTATACATAACCGCGCGTACATCCACACCGTCGCGCGTATACACACGTATATATATATATATCGTCTTTGGTGCCTCGAACCCGCGGGAGTTTCGTCTACAGACTGTCCGCGCGGCGCCAGATAGAAGATCACCACGGATTTCCCGGTACAAGCTCTCGGCCTCGATATACGTGCTACGCGCGCCGCAAAAAAAGTGAGTTAGTGCTGTAGTCAGTGATCACCAAGGGAACACTGTGGGCTAATGTCGGTGCTCAGCAGCTCAGTGCAGTGCCGTGCCAAGTGGATAGATCGAAGATCGTAGAGGACGACATCTCCCCGGGCTCCCGGAGACCGGCGGAATAGCCAGCGTCCGCGAAGATGATCCTGACGCCGGATAGCAGCGCCCAGTCCACAGCGGCGACCTCCCCCGCCCCGGAATCACCGATCTCCAGCATCTCGTCGCATGGCTCGCGAGCGTCGAGCGTGTCGCGCATGTCTTGCGTATCTCAGAGCATGTCTAGCGCCTATCACGTGGCCCAGTTGCCCCATCACATCAGCCCCAACATGCCTACCATGGACTCGACCGTTTCCTCGGCGAAACCCGAGCCCGAATTGAACATAGGTACGACTCGGCGACGATTCCGTGCCAATTTCCGTCCCATTTTCTCCGGGCAGATTTTCTCCGGGCCACCTGTTCCCGGTACACCTGTTCTCGGCGTGACTTTTCCCGCAGGTTTCCTCTGCGAGTTGCTTAGACGAGTAAATAGCGAATGCCCCCGCGCGGGCCCCCGGTCGAATCGATCGACGATATCGAGAGGCTCCGCCGGGCGCAGAAAAATAATCGCGCAGCCGTGACAGTCGAGTGAAAGCAGAAAGTTGTAACACGGCGATGCTGTAACTCGCCGCCGCCGTTGCCGCCGCCGCGCTCCTGAGAGGAGAAAGTGTTCTTCTTTCTCTCCCACCTTTCTCCCAGGCCGCGCGCTCTCGCCACGTGCGGGAGCGAGTGCGCGTCGGCCATCGTCGTCGTCCTCGTCGTCCTCGTCCTCGTCGTCGTTGTCAGTGAACCGAGTGTAATGGACGCTTGTCTTTTTCTCTTCTATTGCAGAATTCGACGGGACCACGGTGTTGTGCCGCGTTTGCGGGGACAAGGCGTCCGGTTTTCACTATGGGGTACACTCGTGCGAGGGCTGCAAGGTGAGTCCGATCTCTGCAACGCTATATACCGCGACGCGATTCGACGCGGTATGCGACACGCGATACGCGGCTCCGATCAGCAGTTTCTGGTTTTATTGTTCTCTTAGTCGCCACGGTCGCGCGATAGCCTGAAAACGCGGCGAACATACCGCGGCCAGAAACCCGGATCGGAGTCGACGTTCTCGAGCGACGTTTCTCCCCGCGAGAGAATTGCCTCCGCGGGTGGGACAGAACGCGGGGAAAAACATCGAACGCTTCGTCGGATATACGCGACCGCCATGTGGCCAGGAAGTGAACGGAGCTTGAATGTGAATGTACGATGCGACCAAGGCTACGGAGAAGCTATCGACCGAGCGCGCGGCTCGACCTTGTGCACGCGGAAATTGCGAGACGTTTATGCTGATCCTTGACGTTGCCCTCCTCCCGACCGGCTGGTCAGACGAAAAATCTCTTCGCCAAGGCCCCGTTTCTTCTGACGGCTGCCGCGGTCGTCGCGGCCAAGGCCCAAAAAATCGCGTTCGCCGGGAGAATTAGGGGAATCCTTAAACTGTCGTGGCCGATCGAGTACCTTTACGCGCGTGTTTTACGATTATGCCAGCGGTGTCCCGGACGATTGGTTTTTCGGCGAAGAAACCGAGATGTCGCCGAGCAGGAAATCGTGAAAAAAAATGTGCCGATGGAACTGGATACGCCCGTCGCCGGACGGCTTTTCCACGGGAAAATGGAATCGAGCCTCGGACAATGGGCCCGCGGCGGTTACGCAAGGGGAGCGTGAAATGTGGCGAAATTCTTTGACCACCGATAACCTTCGGGCCATTGGGGGAAAACGCGTGAGAAGGGATCCGGCAGGTAGTAGGACTCTCTCGGACCTTTTCGTCGGAATTCGCTTTTGTGCCGGTGGTTTTCGTGTGGCCGGAGCCGGCTAGCCGGCTGGAAAATCGGGCCAGGTACGTGTAACAGAGACCGCGCATCCGTCTGGGCAACTTCCTGTCCAGCTTCCAACTGTTTTCTTCGTCCATTCATCCCGTCCCCCTTCGCAGTCGCGAGATGAGATCGTCTTCGTCCCCGTCGGAATCTCTTCTCGATCTTAATTCACGAAGATCCCCGGCCAAAAAAAGAAAACAAGAAAATGCATAAGCGAACGAAACGAAATAAAGCTCGCGCCGACGTCGATCAGTATCTGTCAATCGGGAGAAGAAATCTCTCCCGGCGAAACCTCAAATCGAATGTAAATCGTTCACCTCGAGACTGATAATTACATCCCGCGAAGGCCAACGTCCTCGTGATCGTCATTGTGCGACTTCAAGGAGGCGGTCGGCGGGAGGTGGGGGGGCAGCACAGGCTGCGAATTCGTTTTAAGAAGTGGTAGAACGCTGCCACCACCACTGCCGCATTGCCACCTCCACTCCGCCGCGGCGTCGATGGTGGGGGTCGGCCTGCCAGGTGTGTTAATCGGTGACTCGGCGCTGGCAGATCTTCTTCGTGCGTCGACCCGATGACTTCGGCCGCCGCCGGGAGCTCCCTTTCGCATCAGCTTGCTGCTCGCTAGCTTCCATCGTCGATCGGAATTCGAATTCCCGTCGACTCTATCAACCGAAAGGCGACCCGAGTTCGGCGAAACGATCTTCCCTTTCCTCCACTTTTATTTACCGCCGCGCAACCGCAGCTTTCCCCGAGTCATCGGGGCCGACACCCTCGGGTCCCAAGGGTTTGTTCCGAGTAACCACGATGATTGGTTCGGCCACGGATCCGAAAGAAAGAGAAAGTGGACCGGCGGGATCCCGAAAAGCCAAAGAGATGATCTACTGACCGCGGGAAAGAGAAAGTGTCCCTTGCGCCTTCCTGTGTCGCCGTTTAACCCCCGCCGACTGGTGTCCATTGTTGCCGTCGGAAGGGGAACGGGACCGCGCGGCCATCATCCCGGCGATGCTAGTATCCGGTGCAGGATATTTTTTGGTCTAGGCCTCCCCACCAGGCAGCGACGAAAAGAGCGGCGGAGGCGGCCCGGGGCTGGTTGACTGGGTCAGTAACTTATGGCGGTGTAGCAGGCCGAGGTAGTCGTCGAGTGACCTAGCCGCTAGCGGTAGAGACTGTCTTATGGTACTGGAAGAGGGGCCCGTGGAAAGGGAAGAGAACGCGGAAGAGTGTTGGATATCTTTAAGACTGGGTCGCTCGGTCGCACTGCTGTTGCACTATTTCGCCATAGCGACTCGCGCCGGCCGCAAGCTACTTTTCCTCGGCCGGCCCGCTCGGCTCCAGCTTCGAGCAGCTTCAGGCAGGTTCAAGGAGTCGCGCAGCCTCCGCCGCCTCCTCCTCCTTCTCCACCACCTCCTCCATCTCTTCCCCCGACGATCTCCGAAAACGGGAACCTCCGAATAAATTTCGCCGTTCGAGATTTACACGCGGTCGCTATTCCGACGGTATCGAGAATATTTTTGGCGCGGGTGTTCGAGCGGGTAACCAGGTTTCCGCTCGCGCGGAGGGAGGCGCCGAGAAAATTCTGTAGCCCGCGCTGGCCCAGATTTCGCCGGGACGTTGCCCCCCATGACACTTTTCGTGCACGCGTCACTGACCTGAGCTCAGTTTTACGGCACGAGAGGCTCTCGTTGCCGCAATCACGTGGCAAACGATAACCGCGCGATAAAAGACACGGCATCCCGGGCGACGCGTTCGAATAACCGGCTCAATCCACGAAACCCTCCGGCCGAATCTGATCGCCGGTCCCTCTCCACGGCTTATGCAAAGCCGCGCGCCACGGTCTCTCCCCTAATCTGGTTCCCGCGTATCTCCCGGCACTCATCGACAGCGCATTTTTCCCGAGCCAGTCGGCCGCCTCTAATCGGCCCGTGTTTCCGATTTCCGAGCGATCGAAAGTTTCGCGCGACGATTCCCGGACCGCGTCCGGCCACCCCTTCTCTCCCCTCCCCCCTCCCCGGCTCCGTCCGGGAGACCGAGAGCTTCGGCCGAGAGCTACGCTAAACGGCGAAAAATAGGGATTTTTCTTTTTCAACGTCGACGTTCCTCGGTAAATCTCCTCCCTGGCGGGACAATCAACGGTGGAGGTGCGCGCCGGCTCTTTTTCCGGAGGGTTGAAACCAGGCGACCGGTGCATTAACCCTCCGGTCGTCGACCCCCGAGCCAGTTACGTCACACGGCTGTTCCCTCCTCCTCTCCTCCCCGCCCCTCCTCTCCTCCTCGAGGCCCCCTTCTACCGCCGCCAGCCCCCCCCCTCCCGTCCTCCTGTCCCTCCTCTTTCATCCTCGATCTCCTCCACCTCCTCCTTCTCCTCCACCTCCTCCTGCTCGCCAACCCCCTTCCCCGTCGGTGTTGAACTCTCCCTCCCTCGGCTAACCGTCATTTTTGATGTCGTAACGAATCGTGATCTCATTTTCATTTGATTGCGCGGGTATTTCGGTGCTCGGTTGGGGTTACTGACCCCGGTGCATCTACTTTAGAATCGGGTCAGCCGCTTATTATCGTGGTAGGTGTTCGCTCAACGCGGTATCTCCGGACGGCCGGAGCGCGGCACCGCTTTAAGATAACGCCAACCCGCCTCTCCGCGCCCGCGTCCGCGCCCGCGCCCGAGCCGCGCCAAGCGGAATCGAACCTCGCGCTCGCCTATGGCCCCGCGATAAAGCAACCCCCGTGAAACACGACACCCCGTGCGAAAGACGCCGATGCTGCTGCTCACCTCGGCTGTCTCGCTTTTTCGGGGTCAGACGATTTACGGCCGCGGCTAAGCTTCGCGGAACACGGAACCGTTTCGGGATTCGGGAGGGATCCATTCGGTGGTACACGCGTCCGAACCTTCGATATAGCAGATCCGTCTATCTCGATCTCGTTACATCGGGGCAACTGTTTAGTTTGGGCGCGCGCACGCCTTTGTTCGGCGGCCACCGGAAATCGTGACAATACGCTCTGCCGACACCGCGCAAGTAGAAAATGGTTCGTGCGATGACCTCGGCGGTCGACTTCCCCGGTATCGATGCCCGGGGAATAGAGCAGCGAACTGTTCGAGGTCAAACGAGAGTATTAAAACTGGTCGGTCAGCGGCACCGTTTCTTCGCTGCCGGGTTTGCCAGATCACAGATCATTCCGACCGGCGATTCCAATGTTTTTCCTGCGCGCGGAAGATCGATCCGTTCGAATTCACTTCGACGAAGTTTACGAGACGCTTTCTTTCGGGCTATCTTCCTCCGAATTTCCCATAACGGAGGAGAAGTTTAATTCTAGCCTTCGACGACGTTCGAAACGATTCTCGTGCCTGTAACAATCGTTATGCTTGGTTTATTGAATTTAATCGGAAGAAAATTAACAAGTCAATCCGCGTGACAGCGATTACTTTTCCGTCAGTCTTGCGTTTTACGGGTCCTAATGAAATTAGGAAGATACGATAAATCCGCGTAAAAATGAATGCTCGAATTTACTCGAGACCTAATAGAGATAGACCTAAATAGAGACAGACCAATATAAATAGAAAAATAAAAGCTGAAAATATAAATCGAGATAGACCTGAAAATAGACAGATAAATAATAGATTCGTGCAACAGTATTGTCGCATAATTTTCCCCTTTATTCCTCGCATTTCCGTAATGAAAAATCGTAATCCGAGCAAATAACCTGCAGACAGTCGGCCAAATCGTCGAACACAAGATCGACACGGAATTTTTCCCCGCGATGGAACAACCATCGCCTCCGAGAAAGTACATACTGTATCCCGTATTCCATTGTACCCGGGGCGCGCGACCACGCGGGTTCACGAAAAACGTCAGAGCGGTATCACGTTCTCGTTGCTCGAGAGGAGGCCCCCCGAAACGTTTGACCTAACCCGGGCGATCCAGGAAAATTTTCCACGGTCCCGTGGTAGGGATGACGGAAATTTTCCGCGCGATTTCCCATGGTGCGCGGATTACGCGATCAGCATCTCTGACCTCGGCGATCGACTTGGCCGATACATCGGCGTCCGGAGTCCGGGGGAGCAGAGCAGAGAGGCGCAGAGCGCGAGCAGCGCGAATTCTTGGGGTCGTAGGTGCGCGTCGGAGCGAGCGAGTACGCGCGAGCGGTTAATGCCCCCGAGCGAAGCGGAGAGTATATCGCGGCGTTTCGAGTCGCGGCGCATGCGCCCGCAACGGCGCGCGCATTATGTACGTCACCGTTACTCCGTTTCGTGTCCTGTCCTCTCCTCGCGCGGCCCTTCCCCTCCCGCCGGTCGTCGACGTTACCCCGGTATCTCTCGGCGACTCGGCCGGGCTCCCTCTCTTTCCCGCCGTCTTCTGCTCCTTCTTTGTTGCCTCTCTGCTCTCCTTCTCCCGCCCCGGTTCACCGTCTTCGTTCCCCGCCGCGGCCAGCGCGCCCGTGGGAGCAGATACGCTCTCGCCTTCCCCTCGCGCGCTCCCACCACCGGTCAGCCCGGCCCCCCACCACCGAAGCGGCGATCGCGCGCTCCGGTCGTTGGCCCCGCGACCACGTCGTGTGTATATCCCACACTCTCCTTACCTACATCTGTATGCGCTCGCGTCTACGCGCGCCGCGGCACCGGCTCCGCGAGAGTGCAGACATGCACCGATGCACATGCACGCGAGCCCGCGCCCATGCCCGAGCTCGCGCCCGTGCCCGTGCCCGAGCCCGAGCCCGAGCCCGAACTCGCTCCTTTCGCGGAAAATAAAAGCGAACCGGTGAACGTGACTCGCGGTCGACGCTCGGCGCGCGACCGGGGTTGTTGGACCCCGGGGGACCCGCCGGCGATCACGCTCCTCGACGACGACGATTAGGGTAGCGCTCCGTGAATACGGAACGCAAGATTTTCGGCTCGATATGGTCGGTTCGAACGATCGAGCGAGTTCCTCGCTCGAGTACCGTACAGTTCGGAGAATTATCACCTTCGAATTATCTCCTTCGTCCAGAGAATGATCCCCTTCGAATTTCAACCCCCATCGGGGCGCCCGCGATTTAAATTCACGGCGTCGAAAGTTAGCCGCGAGCCTCGGGTCCGACGTTTCTTTTTCCGTTTTCTGTTTTCTTTTCGTCGCCGGGGCATGTTCCCAGGCGGGATCGGAACGGCCGATAGCGATCTGTTTGCACTTTCCGTGGATGTGACACAATGGAGGCGCGTGCGCCGGCGAACGTAAGTCGCGGAAGCACGCGAAGGTGGTCGCCCCCTGACCTGTCAGGGGGAATGCACGGTTTGAGAGATCGATGCACCGCATTCTCCCACAATCCCGCCCCCGGCCGGTCCCACCTCCGTCGGATTCCCGCCAACCAAGGGGTTCAACAGGGGTTGCTGGCCTCGTCCGGGACGGGAGCTCGCGACCGATAACTTCGCCGTTTCCGAGACCCGATCGGGTCGCGTGACAATAATAGCCCGCGACCGAAAAAGATCTCTCCTACACGGGAACACGAGCAGCCGTCGTTCATTCCCATGCTGAAAAGCTCCGTCGCGCCCCCCCCCCCTTGTCTTTTCATAGAGCCGAACACGGATTTTCGGACAGACGGACGGACGGACGAATGGCAACGCGAAAGAAATTTCGAACGGAAACGGCCGGGCAACGCCGCTCGGGGAACTTAACATTGGCAACGCTGACAGTTCATTGACTTGCATCGAACGCGTGCACCGATTGACAGGCCGGGCGCGGAGGTGCAACGGTACATCGTTCTCTCGTCTCGGGCTGTGCACGAAGTTGAGGTAGGCGAGGTCGCGTGTCTGACGTCACGAGAGAGTCACTTGACGACGAGTGTCGCCAATTCCGTACGCATACGTGCATACACGCGCGCATGCGCTCGCTGACACCGTGCGCGAGATACGCGACGACGACGACAACGACGACGACGACGACGACGACGAGCAACGGTAGGAACGACGACGTTCCACGCGTCGCTCGTTACGTAACCGAGCTCCGAGGTCGTTGACCGATACGCGGCCGGGAAGTTCCTCTGCCCTGACCTACCTCTTTTCCCATTCTCAATTAGCGGCTGCCGCATGAGAAACCCACCGAACGAGAGAGTCTCTCTCTCTCTCTCTCTCCCTCTCTCTCTTTGTGTTCTCGCGTCGTTTCTGTTCCCTCGATCCGGAAAATCCAAACGGGACAATTTTCGTCGGATTTCGGAAGGAAAAAACCTGCCTAGGGTTGGCATGATTGAACGAACGAAGCTGCACATTTGATATTAATTAGTCGTTAGCTCGCACGGGTGGTTCGTGGGGTGGTTACACGATGATCGTAACGGGTCGTTGGTCCATGGGGTCGCGTCGAAGGGTTTTTTTCGGTTCCCGCGTTTATCCGCGTCGAACAGCGGGTATCGACAATAAGCGAGGGCAGGGCGGGCCAGCAGTCCGGGAGGGTAGTTCCTTACAGAATGCGGCAGGGAGAGGAGGGAAGGAACCCGTTAGTAGAGCGCTCGAAGCGCGCGAGCCTGTACGGTCGCGCGCGCGGCTTGGCTTGGCTTGGCTTGGCTCGGCTCGGCTCGGCTCGGGCTGTTCGAGGGAGGAGGACAGCGCGAGCGGAGGGTTCGCGAACGGGACAGTCGGTGGGACAGGGACCGAGATAGGGGCCGCGGTAGGGAGAGAGACGGGAAGCGCCAGTGCGCGCAAGGGGGACTCTCACTTTCACGCGGTGAACTGCGGGTGAACGTCCGGGAATTGGGTCAGAGTGTCCCCCACCTCGCCGAGCCAGAGGCAATGTGCCGAGGCTCTATGCTCTCTGTGCTAGAAAGAGCCAGTCCACAGCCAAGCTCCGATACAAACGGTCGCTTCTTTTCCCCCCACCCCCCACCACCCCGAAACTCGCGTTTCGACTCGCATGATCGTACCGTCGAACAGTTACGGTCGGTTCGCTGGTGAGTTTAGTGGTTTCGGCGCGAGCGTGCGGCTCTTCTTATCAGTGATTCACACGGGATTGTGACAAGGTTTCGGGCGACCCGCTCCCTCGCGCGCTGCCAGTTTTATCTGCTCGGCCGCGCGTACCGCCGGGAACACGTTCCAACCATCCCGACACGCGATATCCGCGGCGGGATCGGGGAATCGTCGGGAAGAGATCCATCGGTGCCGCGTGTGCCACGACGCCGCACCTCGATCTCGGGCATCTTCGGTACCGCCTCCGGTGTGACGAAACGAAAAACAAAATAAAACAAAAAAAAACACGCGCGGGACACTGAAACAGGTGAATTAATGGGGTGCTTGTGCGAATGTGACCTGGCCACCCCGCGAACGGGGACCAATTGCTCGTCGGGGTCCTCCTCGGACAGTGACGGTCAGACTGACGAGGGTTTCGTTGGTGATTCGCAGGGATTCTTCCGGCGGAGCATTCAGCAGAAGATTCAGTACCGGCCCTGCACCAAGAACCAGCAGTGCAGCATCCTGCGAATCAACAGGAACCGCTGCCAGTATTGTCGTCTCAAGAAGTGCATTGCTGTCGGCATGAGTCGTGATGGTAAGTCGCTCAACAACGTTCGTTCTCGTTCTCTCTTTCTTTCTCTATCTCTCTTTTCACCTCTATTCCCTCGGCGAACTTTCGCTACCCATCCGCACCGAGCAGGCGTCTCTAGACCTACCGTAAGCCGCGGAACGATTTCCCCGCGAAGAACGCGAAGGAACGCGAGCCTCCGAACGGCGGCCGGCCGAAAAACGTATCGCCGTACTTTCCCCCGAACGCGCGCGACGCCGGCCGTGGTGTAACGCATTTCTCCGAAAGAGTAGTTTCTAAAATCTAGAGTGGCGGGTCATTGACCGTTTGCGTAACACGGCTCCCCGCGACACGGCAAGAGTGTCGCAACGGGCGAAAGTGGCCAGTTCGCCGTTTGAGAAAGCAGCCGCGATTATCCCCCGGCCGAGCCGCGACGAGAGCGTGCTTTCTTTTCGAAACATGGCCTGGTCCTCGGGTTCCCTCCCTGTGACCTCTTTCGGCGCGCGAAACCCCGCTAGTAGATTCGTCCGGCGCGCATCAGACCCGCCGCCGGGGTCAACGACACGGCCGACGCGCGCGACCGACGCGCGGCCGCCCGCCGCGCGGGTTAGCCGCGTCTCCTGCGGTCTGATCTATAACCGTCCGCGTCCACTTATACTTAAACCGAGCAGACACGGCCGCGACCGAACGCGCGTCGCATCCCCATCGACGAGCATCCGCGACGCGGTCTCGCAACCGAATTTCTATCGTCGCGTCGACGATTAAGATCGAGAAATAGGAACCGTGCGCGCGGGCGTTCGTTTTGGGGGAGCGCGCACGAGAGAGTTCGAGAAAAGAGAAAAAGAAAACAAAGTCCGCCGATAGGCAACGTGGACTCGACGCGGGGTCAATAGACGGGCATTGCTCGGCTTGCATGCGGCTCCACGTCCGTAGAAAGAGTACCGCTACTCGCCGCTACGTACCCGGTGACCCTTCCACCTCCTTCTACGACTCGCTTCCCCTCCTTTCCTAGACGCCGCGTACGCTGTCGCGTCATCTCCCTCTCCCCAAGCCTCGCCGGCGCGGTCTCCTCGTCGGTGCTCCCCCCACCGCCGCGAGCCGAGCGACAACGCGCCGTCGCGTGGCGCTACGCTCCGTGCGGAGACCTCGCGAACCTCGCCCCCTTCGCGATCGCGCTCTACCCCCAGACCGCCGCTCGCCGAACTTCCCCTGCGGCCGTGGCTCTCCCCACCACCGTCGAACCACCTGGCGGCCGGGCGCATGCTCCTCTCCAGTCGGCCCGCCAAACCGACGTGCCTGACTTGCCCGCCACGCAATTCGCGGCTGGACACCCGCGGGGAAACTGCTGCTGCGGCTGCTCTCTCTCCGTTCCGTCGTTCCTGCGATCGCCTCGGACAGTACGCTCGGTGTCGCGGATCATAGACAACCGAGGACGGTGCGATGCTACACGATCGAATGAATCTCCATGGGGGTGACGTCGTGTACGTTTCGAGCGTTCACGCAGTCCTCGAGGCCGCGCGGACGTAGTCCGGTTTAGCGGGCCTCCCTCGTCGGCTAGATTCGTACGTGACTCGGCGCGCACACGACTTCGCGACCGCGATGACCTCTTCCTCCGCGACCCGGCCAGGGTCAGATCCTGTGATCGAGTGTCAGAACCTCCCGATCGAAGCCGGTCCAGAAGTGTCCGATGGATGAACGGTTCCTATAGTCTAGCCTGTCTACGAGCCGAATTCCGTTTGACAGAGAAAGCGGGAGAAAGAGAGAGAAAGAGAGCGGAGGATATCAATCCAGCGACGGAGAGATCGATCGTCCGCGAGCAGATAAGTCTTAGGACGGCAGCTGGTGACAGGGCAAACAGCCAGAGCAAGGGGTTGTCCAAGGTCGTCGAGGGTAACTTACCCCCGGCGAAGGAAGTTCGCATCTGCGCACGGGACAGAGAGTCACCTCTGACAACGAGACCTCTCTCTCTCTCTCTTTCTCTCTTCGTCTCTCTTTCACTCTTTCTCCGTTCCTCTCTCTCTCTCTCTCTCTCTCTCCCTCTCTCTCTCTCTCTCTCCCTCTCTCTCTCTCTCTCTCCCTCTCTCTCGTTCTCTCGTAACACGTCGTTCCGTCTCTTCTCCGGTCGCGTCTCCTCTCTGTCGCATTCAACCACGAACACAAAGAGACGATCCATACAGAGCCGGTCGCGTTACACAGGTACGCGCACCCTCTCCTCCGGCGTGCGGTGGTCGCGGCGCGGCGACGCTCGGCGCGTACATTCGCTCGCTATATAGTGTATGTATATAGGTCGGCGGTACGCCTCGTGCGGCTGTCGCTGAAACCAAGTTCAAGGCCAAAGGCTCAGCAAAGGCCACAATCGTGGCCGGTGGTGGGAGTCGTTGATGGCTGAATAAGTGGAGGGGCTGTTGAACGCAACCCGCGGAACATCACTCAGTCGGCGGTGATGCTGTCTCGCGTCCGCACGCGTCGTGCTGTCGCGCTCCTTTCTTGAACCGCACCGTAATAACAGGCCGCCTTTGCGCGCGTGTGTGTTCTGGCGGCGCGCCGTCCACGCCGCACCACCGTTTGGAGTGACTTGCGGGATATTACACCGAGTCAGCCGCGAGACCGCAGTCCAGGAGCCCTCTCTCCTGGCAGTCAGCCGGTTGTTGTTCCTACGGGAAGAGAACATTGGTGCCGACGCGATCAGACCCGGGGGATAATACACATGACCAGTTCGACGTATGGTGCGCCGTACGCGCCCGCGATCCGCCGCCGGTAGTGATTGTGTGCCCATGGGGAGAGAGATATAGTTGTTTTTTTTCCTCCGTTTTTTCTTTTAGTTCGTTTCGTTTTTTTATTTTGTCGTGCGCAGTGCAGTTTTAGAGTACGAACACACGCTCGTGTCGCATACGGAGACGCAGTTAGGAACCGCTGGTTTTTCTCAACCGTCATGGGAGACGAGTTGCCCATACTGAAGGGAATCCTCAACGGAGTTGTCAACTATCACAATGCACGTAGGTGTCCCGCGGACTCTAGGTGTTCCCGCGAGAGATCCCCGGCGTGCCGCGGCCGCGTTCCCTTTTACCCCCTTACGGGCCCGTTCCTCGCTCGCTCGGTCGGTCGGTCGCGCGCGCGGACTTTCTATCGGAGGATTCGTAGCACGAGGCCAACACGGTTAGGAGCCGCCGCACTTTCATTTCTCGCGCGAGAAAGTCGTGCGCTTTCCCCTCTCGATTTTTTTCTCGCCGGCCCGAACCGTCCGCCAGGCCAGGCCGGGCCGGGCCGAGCCGGGACGGGCCAGCCCGGGCCCGTACAGGCGCCCGTATCTGGTGCGCCGATAAGTTTCGCGGGAGAGAATCGTGCGTCCCGAGCGATACGCCGCCGTAGGGATCCCGGAGACACCGCGGAGAGGTGCAGCCAGCCTCGCGGGCCACTCTCGGCTCTCCTCTTTTCCGCGTATTCGGATCGAAGAGCGCGCGGCCGCGAGTACCGATGCGCCCGAAGGCCGTCCCGAGCGATACGCCGCCGTGTCCGTTGCATGATTCATCCATTGATCGCATTAACTATTCATCGACGTGTCCTTCGCTCGCTTCTGCTCCGCCACCGACGCCGAACTTTGCGCCTCCTCTTTCTTTCCCTGTGTTCGTCGGCGTCGCCCTCNGCTCTTTCACTCTTTCTCCGTTCCTCTCTCTCTCTCTCTATCTCTCTCCCTCTCTCTCTCTCTCTCTCCCTCTCTCTCTCTCTCTCTCCCTCTCTCTCGTTCTCTCGTAACACGTCGTTCCGTCTCTTCTCCGGTCGCGTCTCCTCTCTGTCGCATTCAACCACGAACACAAAGAGACGATCCATACAGAGCCGGTCGCGTTACACAGGTACGCGCACCCTCTCCTCCGGCGTGCGGTGGTCGCGGCGCGGCGACGCTCGGCGCGTACATTCGCTCGCTATATAGTGTATGTATATAGGTCGGCGGTACGCCTCGTGCGGCTGTCGCTGAAACCAAGTTCAAGGCCAAAGGCTCAGCAAAGGCCACAATCGTGGCCGGTGGTGGGAGTCGTTGATGGCTGAATAAGTGGAGGGGCTGTTGAACGCAACCCGCGGAACATCACTCAGTCGGCGGTGATGCTGTCTCGCGTCCGCACGCGTCGTGCTGTCGCGCTCCTTTCTTGAACCGCACCGTAATAACAGGCCGCCTTTGCGCGCGTGTGTGTTCTGGCGGCGCGCCGTCCACGCCGCACCACCGTTTGGAGTGACTTGCGGGATATTACACCGAGTCAGCCGCGAGACCGCAGTCCAGGAGCCCTCTCTCCTGGCAGTCAGCCGGTTGTTGTTCCTACGGGAAGAGAACATTGGTGCCGACGCGATCAGACCCGGGGGATAATACACATGACCAGTTCGACGTATGGTGCGCCGTACGCGCCCGCGATCCGCCGCCGGTAGTGATTGTGTGCCCATGGGGAGAGAGATATAGTTGTTTTTTTTCCTCCGTTTTTTCTTTTAGTTCGTTTCGTTTTTTTATTTTGTCGTGCGCAGTGCAGTTTTAGAGTACGAACACACGCTCGTGTCGCATACGGAGACGCAGTTAGGAACCGCTGGTTTTTCTCAACCGTCATGGGAGACGAGTTGCCCATACTGAAGGGAATCCTCAACGGAGTTGTCAACTATCACAATGCACGTAGGTGTCCCGCGGACTCTAGGTGTTCCCGCGAGAGATCCCCGGCGTGCCGCGGCCGCGTTCCCTTTTACCCCCTTACGGGCCCGTTCCTCGCTCGCTCGGTCGGTCGGTCGCGCGCGCGGACTTTCTATCGGAGGATTCGTAGCACGAGGCCAACACGGTTAGGAGCCGCCGCACTTTCATTTCTCGCGCGAGAAAGTCGTGCGCTTTCCCCTCTCGATTTTTTTCTCGCCGGCCCGAACCGTCCGCCAGGCCAGGCCGGGCCGGGCCGAGCCGGGACGGGCCAGCCCGGGCCCGTACAGGCGCCCGTATCTGGTGCGCCGATAAGTTTCGCGGGAGAGAATCGTGCGTCCCGAGCGATACGCCGCCGTAGGGATCCCGGAGACACCGCGGAGAGGTGCAGCCAGCCTCGCGGGCCACTCTCGGCTCTCCTCTTTTCCGCGTATTCGGATCGAAGAGCGCGCGGCCGCGAGTACCGATGCGCCCGAAGGCCGTCCCGAGCGATACGCCGCCGTGTCCGTTGCATGATTCATCCATTGATCGCATTAACTATTCATCGACGTGTCCTTCGCTCGCTTCTGCTCCGCCACCGACGCCGAACTTTGCGCCTCCTCTTTCTTTCCCTGTGTTCGTCGGCGTCGCCCTCGCCGACGCCGCCCCGTGTCCTCGTCGTCCTCGTTAGCCGTCTAACGCATTCGACTCCCGTTTTTGTTTATAGCGGTGCGATTCGGCCGTGTGCCCAAGCGCGAGAAGGCCAGGATTCTGGCTGCCATGCAGCAAAGCTCCCACAGCCGTTCTCAAGAGAAGGCAGTAGCGGCCGAGCTGGAGGACGAACAACGGCTGCTCGCCACCGTTGTGCAAGCTCACCTCGACACATGCGACTTCACCAGGGACAAAGTGGCTCCGATCCTCGTGCGAGCTCGAGAGACACCCAACTACACCGCGTGTCCACCCACCTTGGTGAGTGGAACTTCATTATTCCACGATTTATTTCGTCGTCGTCTCTGTTCCGTCTTTCCCGTCGCCGCGACGACGATACCGCGCGACGGTTCGTTTCTTTCCGTTCGAACTTTTCTCGCAAAATAGTGGATCGCGCGCGCATCTTCGTCGCGTACGCGTCTCGCGGAATATTCGTTCGACGACGATAAAACGTAACCACGCGACGCGGAGTTGTCCGGTTTTTCCTCGCGTCGCGCGTGTCGCCCGTAGAATCGAGTCGCTTTCAATTACGCTAAAAAAAAAAAACGATCGCGCTTCAACAAGTGCCTCGTGTCGGTCGATTACTTTTTTTCTCGCGGAATTACGTCGCTCTCCGAGACGGACGAGATTCTTCAAAGTTCGTTTCTCGCGTTCGCGCGGCAGCCGGGCCTTGAGGAGGCGTTCGCTTCACGCGGAAGTCGAACCAGTCGTCCTCGGCGGAGGCTTCCTCGAGCTGGGAAGCGGACGCGTCCCCCTCTCCCCCCGCCCCGATCACGCCGGAGCGTGTCAACGACCTTGGCTCGGGACCGATTGTTAATCCCGCCGTTCGTTTTCCGGCTTTGTTGCAGGCATGCCCCCTGAACCCTAACCCCCAACCACTGACCGGCCAGCAAGAGCTGTTGCAAGATTTCTCGAAGAGGTTCTCACCGGCGATCCGCGGCGTGGTGGAGTTCGCGAAACGCATTCCTGGCTTCAGCCTGCTGGCACAGGACGACCAGGTCACGCTGCTGAAAGCGGGCGTGTTCGAGGTGTTGCTGGTGCGGCTGGCCTGCATGTTCGACGCTCAAACGAACAGCATGATCTGCCTGAACGGGCAGGTGCTCAAGCGAGAGTCCATCCACAATAGTAGTAACGCGCGGTTCCTAATGGACTCGATGTTCGACTTCGCCGAGAGGGTGAACTCGTTGCGGCTGTCGGACGCCGAGCTGGGCCTCTTCTGTTCGGTGGTGGTGATCGCCGCGGACAGGCCCGGTCTGCGCAACACGGAGCTCGTCGAGCGCATGCACAACAAGCTGCGGAACGCTCTCCAAACCGTGCTGGCGCAGAACCATCCCCAGCACCCGGACATCCTCAGGGAATTGCTCAAGAAGATCCCGGACCTGCGAACCCTCAACACCCTCCACTCGGAGAAGCTGCTGGCGTTCAAAATGACCGAGCAGCAGCAGCAGATGCAGCAGTTGCAGCAGCATCAGCAGCAACAGCAGCAAACGCAACACGTGATCAACGCTCAACAACCGCAGCAGCAGCAGCAGCAGCAGCAGCAGCAACAACAACAGCAACAGCAACAGCAGCAGCACTGGCCGATGGAGGAGGAGCCGTCGGCATCCTGGGGCTCCGCGTCGGACGTGACGCTCGACGAGGCCGTCAAGAGTCCCCTGGGCAGCGTGTCCAGCACCGAGAGCACCTGCAGCGGCGAGGTCGCGTCGCTGACCGAGTACCATCACGTGGCTCCGCCGAGCGGGCACCACGCGTCCAGCGCGCCCCTTCTTGCCGCCACCCTGGCCGGAGGCCTCTGTCCGCACCGGCGACGAGCGAACTCCGGCAGCACGAGCTCCGGCGACGACGACCTGCACCGCGCCTCGTTGTCCAAGACGCCCCAGCCGCCGCAGTGCCCGCGATTCCGCAAACTGGACTCTCCGAGCGACAGCGGAATCGAATCCGGCACCGAGAAACCCGACAAGCCGGCCAGCAGCAGCGCGAGCAGCGNTGGGCCTCTTCTGTTCGGTGGTGGTGATCGCCGCGGACAGGCCCGGTCTGCGCAACACGGAGCTCGTCGAGCGCATGCACAACAAGCTGCGGAACGCTCTCCAAACCGTGCTGGCGCAGAACCATCCCCAGCACCCGGACATCCTCAGGGAATTGCTCAAGAAGATCCCGGACCTGCGAACCCTCAACACCCTCCACTCGGAGAAGCTGCTGGCGTTCAAAATGACCGAGCAGCAGCAGCAGATGCAGCAGTTGCAGCAGCATCAGCAGCAACAGCAGCAAACGCAACACGTGATCAACGCTCAACAACCGCAGCAGCAGCAGCAGCAGCAGCAGCAGCAACAACAACAGCAACAGCAACAGCAGCAGCACTGGCCGATGGAGGAGGAGCCGTCGGCATCCTGGGGCTCCGCGTCGGACGTGACGCTCGACGAGGCCGTCAAGAGTCCCCTGGGCAGCGTGTCCAGCACCGAGAGCACCTGCAGCGGCGAGGTCGCGTCGCTGACCGAGTACCATCACGTGGCTCCGCCGAGCGGGCACCACGCGTCCAGCGCGCCCCTTCTTGCCGCCACCCTGGCCGGAGGCCTCTGTCCGCACCGGCGACGAGCGAACTCCGGCAGCACGAGCTCCGGCGACGACGACCTGCACCGCGCCTCGTTGTCCAAGACGCCCCAGCCGCCGCAGTGCCCGCGATTCCGCAAACTGGACTCTCCGAGCGACAGCGGAATCGAATCCGGCACCGAGAAACCCGACAAGCCGGCCAGCAGCAGCGCGAGCAGCGCGCCGACCTCGGTCTGCTCCAGCCCGCGATCGGAGGACAAGGAAGTGGAGGACATGCCGGTGCTGAAGCGCGTGCTCCAGGCGCCGCCGCTCTACGACACGAACTCGCTGATGGACGAGGCGTACAAGCCGCATAAAAAGTTCCGCGCTCTCCGGCAGAAGGACAGCGCGGAGGCCGAGCCGGCCGTGATCGTGCAGCACACGCAGTCCCAGCTGCACCTGCACCTGACCTCGCCGCCGGCACGGAGCCCGTCGAGCCAAGTGCAGGCCCAGTGTCCGCAGACCGCCAGCCTGCTCAGCAGTACGCACTCGACCCTGGCCAGGAGCCTGATGGAGGGCCCCCGGATGACCGCCGAGCAGCTGAAGCGCACGGACATCATCCACAACTACATCATGCGCGGCGAGACCAGCCCCAGGTCGCCGGCGGTGTCGCCGTCGCCGGCCGAGCAATGCGCCTCGACGACCACCATCACCGCGCGCTCACCTCAAGGATCTCAAGGACTGCTGCAGTGCGCCACCGCTAACTACTCGACGACCAGGTGGCCGGCCACGTCGGTGATCACGACGACGACCGGCGCCCGGCAGCAGCAACAGCAGCAGCAGCAGCAACAACAACAGCAGCAACAACAGCAACATCAACAACAGCAACAACAGCAGTCTTCCTCGGACTACCTCATGGTCGGGAACTCGCCGGTCTCGTCGCCCAAATACCTCTCCGCGGCGGCCTCGAGTAGTACGAGCACGAGTCCGAGGCCCACATCGAGTACGGCGGCGACCTTGATGCTGTCCGGCTGTCCCAGCAACATGATGGAGCTGCAGGTGGACATCGCCGACAGCCAGCAGCCGCTCAACCTGTCGAAGAAGTCGCCGTCCCCGTCGCCCAGGCCCCTCGTCGGACCCTGCAAAGCGCTGTCCCTCGAGGCGTAGTGCTCTCGCGACGAGATCGCTGCAGCCCGCCGAGACCGTTTGTAACGCTCCCGCGGGACACTCGGACCCGAGAAATACAGAAGAGAGAGATTGAGAGAGAGAGAGAAAGCGAGAGAGAGATAGTGAGGGAGGGAGAGAGAGAGAAAGAGAGAGCGAAGGAGAGAGAATGAGAGAGATAGATTGAGAGAGAGAGAAGAGGGCGATCCGGCTGCTGACCCAATCGTGGCCGCGCGCCGCTTCTCGCACCGGGGGAAGAAAAAAAGTATGAAAGTGCCAGGACGCTCTGAGCGCGTGATAAACCAAATAATTTATTAATTTAAACTATTAATCGCTAAAGAAAACCTGCGCGACGACACGATAATGGGAGACGGCGGTGGGTGGCGGAGTCGCGTCCCGGGCCTACCTCCGCCTCGGCGAGCAGCGAGTCTGATTCACGATGGATTTCTGTTTTCCAATGATGAGAAAGAATTGTGCGGTGAGAACGCGGAACATGGACACGGGACAGAGTGCCGTTCCGGGGAGCAAAACAGTGCCGTGTGTAGGATTTACCTGTCTACCTAAGGGAAGCTACCTAATCCGTTTACCTAACTACCACCTTTTATCAGCTAACCGAGCTACGCCGGCCGATCTTATCCGGGATCTGGACGGTCCCGCCGGATAGCGTCTCACGTCCGAGGTAAGCCCCGGTTCCCCCGGGGGCCGAGCCGCCGGTGAGAATTATGAAACAAGGAGGGAAGAGATCAGTTAAAAAAAAAAAGATTGAATGTTAAACGGAAATTAATAATCTATCTACATGTGATAATCATGGAAATCGCGCATCCTGTACAGTCTCCACCTCATTCATCGATCATCTTACTCTACTATAATTATTGAATATTATAAAAGTAATTAATATTATTGTAATATGTGTAAGGTATAATAATCGTAAAAGTTATCATCTTGTGTATGTGCGCGTAGGGAACGAAGACACGTGTGTCGTCTGCGTGCGTCTGTGTGCGGAGAGAATCTGAGAAATTGAGAGCAAGAGAGAGAGAGAGAGAGAGAGAGAGAGAGAGAGAGAGAGAGAGAGAGTAAGAG